GGGGGGGGTTTGCCGGACCCGGTTCCCAGGGTGCCCCAGGGGGAGCTTAGGTGGCTTTAATATCTGCAAGAAGGCAACGCCGTTTGCAAGGCACGCTTTCTTGGGTGCTAAATGCCCCGGCGGAGAGGAGGGTTCCCTCCTCTCGGAGACAGCTCCCGCGAGTTAGTGGGGCTGAATGCCAAATGCCTTTGAGATTGGTTTACAGGGATTTTTTTTGGCGTATGGGGCAGATTTGTGGAACCTGCACTGAAAGAGCAGGATTGAGGGGAGTGAACACTGGCTGAGTTTTTTTGCGGGGAGGGGAGAGAGAAGTGGAAACCGATAAAAAAAAGATTTCTTCTCCGACTGTAGCGGTGACCTTTTGTGGGGGGGGTGCAGGGATATTTGGCATGTGTGCCATGGGCTTCATGTGTAGATGTATTTAGAAGTGATTGAAAGAAGCAGCGTTGCCATATGCTCCCCTCGCACGACACAGTCCCGGCAGAACACCCTCCCGTATCATCCCCTTGCAATGACAGCACTCCGAGCTCTCACGTTCAGCGTTTCTTCTCTGGTTTGTATCTGCAGGCTCCGTGAAATCTTTTCCAAAACACAAGGATGGGGTGGAGGGGCGGGGGGATGCAAACAAATGCAGCGGGGGGGGGGGAATTTCTTGCATCTGTGTCTTCATTTGCTCATTTTGTCTTTCCAATTATAGGAGGCTTATGTGCAGAAAATGGTGAAAGTCTGCAATGATTCAGACCGATGGAGTCTCATCTCCCTGTCCAACAACAGTGGCAAAAATGTGGAGCTGAAATTTGTGGACTCTCTGAGGCGGCAGTTTGAATTCAGTGTCGATTCCTTTCAAATCAAGCTGGACTCCCTGCTGCTTTTTTATGAATGCTCAGAGAATCCGATGACTGAAACCTTTCACCCGACTATCATTGGCGAGAGCGTCTATGGGGATTTCCAGGAAGCCTTTGATCACCTCTGCAACAAGATAATCGCCACCAGAAACCCGGAGGAAATCAGAGGAGGTGGTCTTCTGAAGTACTGCAACCTTTTGGTAAGGGGCTTTAGGGCTGCCTCCGAATCCGAGATTAAGTCCCTGCAGAGATACATGTGTTCGAGGTTTTTCATTGACTTCTCAGACATTGGAGAACAGCAGAGAAAGCTGGAGTCCTACTTGCAGAACCACTTTGTGGGATTAGAGGACCGCAAGTATGACTATCTCATGACCCTTCACGGTGTGGTGAATGAGAGCACAGTGTGCCTGATGGGACATGAGAGGAGACAGACTCTGAATCTGATCACCATGCTGGCCATCCGGGTCCTGGCTGAGCAAAATATCATCCCCAATGTGGCCAATGTCACCTGCTATTACCAGCCAGCCCCATACGTAGCAGATGCCAACTTCAGCAATTACTATATTGCCCAGGTTCAGACGGTGTTCCCTTGCCAGCAGCACACATACTCTACTTGGCTGCCCTGTAATTAAGGACCGAAATTAGTAGACCCGGTGGGGAGAGCGTTTTCTAAGACGTAGGAAGGGGCGATGCGTCCCTTTGAAATGGGGTGTTTTGTGCAATGATGATCTGCTCTAGTTTGCAAGCTTGGGAAAAGCTTGTGGTTCTTCTAATAAATAACAGGAGCACGATCGAGAAAGAACCCCAGATAATTGGATCCTACCCCAGAGCACAAGAGGCCTGTCATTAAAAGCAACCAGCTTCCCCTGAAATAAGTGAGGGAGGAATGCTTGATGACAATATGGGTTGGCAATGTCTGCTCCCATAGCTTTGGCATAGAGAAGGTGGGAAAGCCTTATTTTCTTTTATTTTTATTCTTACTCTAGAATGGGATCTGCAAAAGGGAGAATACGAAAGAAACAAAACAAAACAAAACAAAAAAAACAACAAAAAGAAAAAAAATCACAAAAACAATTTATATATATTCAGGAATTAAAAGTTAGAGGCATAAAGCAGAGATAAGCTGAATAAAAATGTATATTGGAATTACTGCATTTGGGGCTTGCAGCAAGTGCCGTCTATGGATTGACCGCGTAGAATGTATAGCTCGCTTGACTAGAATGCTTTACCAGAAACAGCTTGCTCCAAATGAACAGTAGTGGATTGGTACAGTTATAAAAACAGAAACACGTATGATGACAAAGTCCATTATTTCCAGCTGTGTGCGTGCCTCACATTTTAAAAATGTGAGAATGCAGGAAAACCAGCTGTGGCAAACAGAATATACTCAAGGACCAAAGATTTCACAAATAAGTTATCCGAGCAAAGAAGATACAGTAGAGTATATATATATATATATAAAAGAAAAGAAAGATGTTGCTATATTTGTACACACCAACAGTAATCAAAAGTGCCTGATGCCTTCATAAAATTTGAAGTGAGGAAAAAAATATAGTTTTGTGGTTTAACCATGCATTTTGTTTTATCAGGGACACAAGGATTAAAAAAACAAAAACAAACCCATAAGCTTGTGAATAAGTGGTGGAGGAAATGCCCTATTTTTTTTCTTGGCAAATACCTGTATAGAGTTAATGTTGATGTCGGTGTGCTATTATCCTAGGTACGTGTGTGTATGTGTGTATATATGTTTGTGTGTGTATATATGTACATGTTATAGGTGTATATCTATATATATACACACACAATATATATTAATTTGGTCTAGGAAAATGTAGCAATTAAGGAATGTTTAAATAAAGTACTCTGTGTTTTCCAGTTTGCAACAGGATGTCATAGGACAATGGGCACCTTGCAGTGAATTTTTAACCCACACTTGAGAAATTTGGAGTAAATGAACCAGTCAGGATTAAGGTGGGATTCAGATAATGTCTTTGGTTGCAAGAACAAGGATTACAGTAATTCAGTGGGTTGCTTGTGAGCCATAATAATTCCACAGATGGAGAAACATATGACTAGCTGATTTTTTTTTTAACTATTTTGTACTGTAATGCCATTTTGACATTTAACCCACTAACGTTGTGACTGCATACCTCCATGATGTGTAATTCAGTGGAACGTGGATCAAAGATAGGTTTATTTAAACCCCCTGACAGCTAAAGAATATTGTATTAGTTGGTGATTTGAACACTAATTGTTAATATTTAAAGGAGTATTTTTAATAGAATGCATTATGCATTCCAGGACCACTAGAATTTAGCAAATGTGAAATGAACCCTTTTTAAGAGTGTTGCACGATTGCTTAAAATTATATTTTATATATATATATTATATATATATATTTTTATGCAAATATTAAACATCTTTGATCTGGTTGTCACACTGCATTTACAATTTCAGTACTGTACTTTATTTAAATGGAATCACTTTACATTGGAACAATAACTATTCACTTTCATTTCCTCTCCCAAAAGACCGGCAGGGGGAAAAGAAATCAACCTCCACCGTTGTTTTCACTTCAGTGCCATCTCTGAAGGTGTTAAATTCTTTGTTGGGCTTTGAAAACCTGATGACTAAGTGACACTTGACTCTAATATTTTGCTTTTTCTTACTGAGGAAACAAGAAGGAAAAAAAAAAAAGAAAAGGGAATTCAGGCTTTTTGAATAAAAGCTGGCTGTGCCCTGCCTGGTTGCAGGCAGGGTCTGCCGTCGCAGGAGGCAGAGGGGCAGGGGAGAGGATTTGTGTCCCGGCAGCGTGTTTTCCCTGCGGGGCGAGGAAGGTACATCTATTTTTGTCGCGCTTTGTACTTCTCGCTCCGGAGGCGATTTAATAGGAACCCACCCGATTTGTTGACCCGAGCACCTTCCCCGGCAGTCCTTTGGGAAGCATCGGAGCTGGTTCGGTGCCATTCCCGGCGCTGGCCGGCCAACCTCGTCCCCGCTCCTGTCCCTGCGTCCCGGCCCGTTATTTCCCCTCGGCTCCAGCTCCTGGAAGGGTTTGCGAGCGGAAGCTACGGGGAGGGCTGGGGAAATAGGATCAGCTGGTAATGTGGTATGTCTTCTCTCGCCACAACTATTCGCAGCAAATAAATGAGTCATCCGCTCTTTAAAAGGGTTTGAGAATCTATAGCTGTGCCACAACCACAGAACGCTGATAGGACGTGACATGATGTATTTTTTCCTTTGAAGGACCCTTTTTTTCCATTGCTCGAAAGAAAGTTTTGATTTTCTTCCTCTCAGCTCAAATTTTATTGTGTGGGGTTTTTTTTTATGATTGACAGCAGCTAGTTACCTTATAGTGCATGCAGCAGGGCTCTGAGCTAAACTGCACCTTTCAGCGTTTGCATTTTAATACATATATAATATGTTTTTATATATATTATATAGGTATTCCGGATCTGTTTTGCATATGTTAATGACCAAGTGGTGGAACTGGTGGAGCTTTGTTTTATTTGTGACTGGTAGCTTAAAAGGTGCCTGGTGTTAGAGGTGGGAAGAAGGCATGAGTTCAGGCCAAGAGTAAAATAAGAACCCCTTTTCAAAGCTGGTTTATTTCTGCGGTTTGCACACCTTCCCCTCCATAAAGTCTGACTTTTTTTTAACTGGTTTTTCCCCTCCTTTTCAGCACACTGGTACTTTTAAAGTTAACGACTGCGTTCTTGCTTTGTGGACTTCGTTTTTCCCATCCAATCAGATGTAAGGTTAGAACTTGTGCTACAAGAGACAGTGCCCCTTTTAAAGAGCTGAACTGATTAAAAACATTGACCTGATTACAGTAAAACTGTTTGTGCTGCAGCTGAATTTACTGCTAACCAACAGGGCGCTAAACTTGGTTAAATGTAGTGATCATGAAACAACCCAGAGCTTTGAAATGGGATTTTTTTTTTCCTTAGATGTAGCTGTCCTCCCAAATGCAAGAACATTTCTTCTAAAAATAGAAGGGGGCAATTAGAAGACCAAAAAGATGATATTTTTCTAGTTTCTCTTATTGCACTTAACCTTTTTTTTATTTTGCACAAAGGCCTTCACACAAATCTTCTAAACACCTCTTACTAAATGCTTGGTTTGCATCATGTCAGAAGCTCCCACCAGTTTAAAAAAAAAGCTTTTTTTTTTTATTGAGAAAATGAAGTGTGTTAGATAAAACTGCACAGAAAAGGAAAAACTGTAATTGCGTATTCAGCTCCTATTTGAATATATTCATTTTTGTACGGTTTTCTTTATGCAGAGAGTTTCCCTTGCAAGAAAGAAAATCAGTGTACTGTTTTGCTGTTGTAATAATGGTTTGCTAAAAAAAAAAAAAATAAAAAAAAAAAAAAAAAAAAAAGCCTGCAAATTTCAAGACAGCTTGGCTAAAGCGTTGCAGGCTCCTGCAGTCTGTAGGAGTCTGTGCAGATTTGCTTTCCCTCAGATTTCCTTACAACTGTTGCCTTCTGCAAGGCATCCTGTTGCAGCAAACTGCTCCTTGGATTGCTCTTTTGGAACATTTTGACTATAGGCTTTGTCACAGACAGAAAAAGAGCTGGTGGAAAACAGACTCTAGAGGGAACAGATTGTGAATTTTGTTTACAGCATCCAATATTTGGATTTTTTTTTGTAAATAAAAAGAAGTTATTTTTTTCTATTGATTTGTGTCTGCTGTCTTCCGTGTCTGAAATAGCTCTGGCCTGCTCCTGCTGAATACCAAGTTCGCTTTCATTAAAAAAAAGACAAGGGCAGCACTTTTCTGAGAAGAGCAGCGTTCGGCCTCTTTCCGATTGGAGCACAAGGCGTTTTGAAAAGCCCTGCCTCGTGCCAGCCAAGTTTGACTGGCTGCACTCAGCTGCAGAGGAACCTCCCCAGCCCCTGCCAAAAATCCTCGCTCTGCCGCTGGCCGGGCCGTGCAAATGGTCCGAAATCCAAAAAACCGAAACAGCGCTGCGGCAGCCCCGTGCTCTTGCTTGCCTTCCCAGTTTAGATCCCGGTACTGGGACCAGGATCTTTTCGTGATGCCCGTGACTCGCGCATCGCGCGCCACCGTGCCGGCGGTAACGTGAGGGTCCCGATGCCCTCGAGATGCGGTCGATGGGGGCCGGCGCCTCCGCCTCGGCGTTTCGGCAGGTCCGGGGGGTGGCAATGGGGTGCTGCTCCCTGGGTGTAAAGGTTGGGCTGTGAAGGTCCGTAGGGGATGGGTGCTGCGGGTCCCGCAGCTCAGGGAGCTGCCGGGAAGCGGGGATGCACGTGTCCCTTTGATTCAGCTCCTGCATCAGTCCAGTCCCTCCTGCAGATTCGACGCTGACTCCCCTTCCCTGCCCTACAATGCAGTCCTTGTCGGCAGAGGTATTTTCTGTTTGCCGTGTTTACAGGGGAGATGCCTCTGTAATGAAGGCTAATTTCCTCAAAAGGCACTTCAAGGGAATGTAAAATACTAATTTACAATGCTCATGGCAATACTTTTTCAACCGGGGCGCCTCAGACTGACCCAAATTTGAAAAACGTTGACTAAGACTCCGCAGCTCTTACTGGGCCCATTCATCCAGGGCGCCGGGCTTGGAAGGCTCACACCGGCTAAGCGCGAGCGTGAATGTCCTTATTGTAATGATGAGTGAACCTGTATTCCCCTGTAAAAACAAACAAACAAACAAGCTGCTGGGACTGCTCGTTTTTCCAGGCGCGGGAGCAGCCCCCTTGCCGAACGGCGGGCGCCTTCTGCACAGTGCCTCTTTTGAAAACCGGGATGGTCGGTCGGGCTGGCCCGGAGAGGGGGATGCGATCGGCATCCCTGCTCCCGGCGGCATCACCTTTCCTCCCACGTAACTGCCGGGAAAGGGACGGGGACGTGGCCTAACGTTTCCTCCCATTGACTTGCTCCATTAGAAAATAGTTTAGGCAGTGTGACAAAGGCAGCTGCGGCGCCCAAAGACGCAGATGGAAATTGGGGGATTGGAAACCATCTAAATCCAAACGCCTTTGCTTGTCTCTCAAAATCCAAGCCAGGATGGATGCTCTTATGCTTTGGAGTGTGTTAATTCCAGTTTCTCTGCTTAAATTTGGGGGGATTTTCTTGAGAGATGAACGGTGGTTGAGTATCTGGAGTGTTGTGAGCCCTCCTCCCCAAACCAAGGAGGAGTATGATGGGGATGCAGCTGGCCGAACTTCAGCAGGTTGTGTTTTTAAGCAGGGAGGAGTGTTCAGGACTGAGGATAGAGGGAGGGCAAAAGCAAGGTGTGAGGATGGGAATCACCTAAGCGACAATGCTGTGGAAAGCTGGAGGACATGCTGATAGACTAAAGTAGGAGAGGAGAAATGGCTCAAGTCTTTAACTTGCGTTTGCCCTGCTAAAATGAGTCTCATCAGGAATGCTGTCACTTGTAAAGATAAGTAACAGTCTGCAGTTTGTCTTGGCTGCAGCACCACATTTTTATTTTATTGCATTAAAAAAAAAAAAATCCCCAGGAACCCTTTTGAACAAGAATGATGCTGAGTGTGGGCTAAATCAACCCTACATCCTCTAGTAAATGTATCTGCAGTCCCTGGAAGGCAATAAATTAATAATGCTGAGTTCAGTTTTATAAACCTGCTCTTGGGAAACACCCGTGAAACCTCTGCAGAGATTTTCATAGCATGGTTGTGTGCACCTTGTTCCCAAGTGTTTGTGTGGATCTGGTCATGCCTTCCTGAAACTGCCACCATGCATCCACCTCCTGTTTATTTATAGGTTTTTAGTAAAATTCAGTGCACATGGCCACATGCACTTAGGTAAAGCGCACTCTAAAGCTATGCACCGTTGCGTTGGAGCTGGTGTAGTTTTGCAGCAATCCCCTAAATATCTATAGAAATGTGTCAGAAGCAGCTCTGCATGCAGGGCTTTAGTCTGCACGTAAGAAGCAAGAGCACAAAATCAGAAGCTGCACTTCAGACAAGAAATACTAAGCCTTCAAAGGCCTGATAAAACATGATGAACAGACTCATCTCCTACACACTTACATAGCCTTAGGCTGTTCAGAATGATTGTTTTGTGGATGCACAATTCCACCATTTCATGTGGCTGCTGGTTCATGAGGACGTGCAATGTCAGTACACGCCAGAAAATTTTCATTTTGCGTTGTTCGGGCGAAAAACTGTGTCCTAAATACACACCTAAATATTGTGTGCAAAACATGGATATTCTCCACAGTAAAGACATCCATTAGATTCCCATAATGGCTTGGAGGGCATAAATTCCTGCTTTTTGACAGGATAGTGTGCTTAAACATACTTTGCCTTCTGTTGGACTTGGGGATGAACAGCTCTTCTGGGTAAGCAACTCTCCTGATAATTGTTTGTCTTCCTGAAAATGGAGAAATCCAGAACAGCCAGCACTTTTTAAAAGTAAAAGTCTCTGCATCTAACCTACACAGGCTTTCTT